TGCGAGGGACACGGTCGAATGCCTTCTCCAGATACACGAAACACATGTGGACTGGTTGGGCAAACTCCCATGAACCCTCTGCCACCCTGAAGAGGGTATAGAGCTGGTGCAGTGTTCCACGGCCAGGACAAAAACCGCATTGTTCCTCCTAATTTTGAGGTTCGACTATCGGTCGAATTCTCCTCTCCAGTACCCTGGCATAGACTTTCCCGGGGAGGCTGAGGAGTGTGATCCCCCTATAGTTGGAACACACCCACCTAATAGATATATAAGAAAATCAAAACTCAACACAAAAACCTCATCTTCTTCTGGTTCAATTTTCAAAACTCTCAAAGAGAAAATAGGAAAAAATCAGAAAAACAGTGTTCTTATTGGTCAAATCTTCTGTAACTCAGGAAAACATAAAGACATGAAAATGTCTAACAGAACAGTCTTCTTTTGGTCCAAATCTTCTTTCTTCTGAGAAACACAGAAACAATCAAATGAGCATCATTGATCTTCCTCTGCTCCACTCCTCTTTCTTCAAACAAGCCATCTTCCCCAACAGGCCGAGGTAGATTGTGGATTAAGACGCAGGCTACTCACTCTTTCGGCTGTTTCCTTCAGTCACTCGGTCTTCTGGAAGTCAGAAAATCAACCGGACAGAGCCTGTGGCGGCAACAGTGAGGAACTCCTTCGTTTCTCTTTTTGCCTGGATTTTTAAAGGATTCTGGTCAGTAGACGTAGTCCTCTCATCCAAGTCGTATTTTTCAGAACTGTTGCATACCTTTTACTGTCACAGCTCAAGTCCACTGCCCTGTGGAAGCAATTTTTGGTTTTATTCTTTATGCATTAAGCTGTAACTTAGTATGCATCAGAATGAGTTGAACCATGTCACACTGAATGTATGAACTTTCAGCTTTTCTGCACAGCAAGCAGATGTAGCCTAACCTGTCCTTGAACGATCTCCTCCTTCATTAAAGTATCTCTTTGTACCAGGACGAGGACCTCTGTCTAATAAGAAGCACATGAGCATGAATGTTATCAGTCCACATTCTTTTCTTTTGATGCTTCCAAACCCTGTGTAAAGCTCATACGTATATATGTGACTGAGTTGCCTCTGGGGGGGAGCCTCTCTAACAGACCTCTCTGAATGCTGTTGTAGACTGCTCCTATTTCTTGCAAGAAATAAAGCACATATCTGTCTCAATTCTTTTTATTCCACACTCTCTAAAGGTTGTTCATTTTAGTACAGGTAAACACACAGCCCGTAACCGGCCTCCACCGCACTGCGATCCAGCCTCGGACTCTACTTCCCCTTTCCTAGAAAACTAAGTCATCTTAATAGTTAATAAAGATACTAGAAACTCACATCTGACTGAAATACCAAAAATCCCACCATTGCTTTTAACAGAACTATCAGAATTACACACTGATTACACAAAACTATCAATGCCTTAAAATCAAAACATGGATCTTAATATTTTGAATACAATACTTTACTAAACATTGATTATCATTGATTAGGCATTGATCAAACATTATCAAATTTTTACTTTATGCATGAAACCATGATTTTCTTCTTTCCTTAATCATCTGTGTCTCCTTTCTCTGTCACACATACCACAGTACTTCCTCTTTTGTATCAATGTGTGTCTTACTTCCCTTTTTGCCATGATTCAGCATTTTCACTCTCTATGATTCAGATTCTGAATGTACTTTAGACTTCTAAATGTGCCTTTTTCAATACAGTCCTTTCTCATTTTATTCTTACACATTCAACTGATTATTTCAAACAAAACACACACACAAATCATCTTATGATTACCTTAATTTTTCTACTTTATGCATTCTGCCATAGCATTTTAATAATTTTTCTCTCTCTCCAAGCTCCTCTTGCTGCTTCTTGTAAACATTCTTGCTGTTCTTGTGTGAATTCTAACTGAAAAGTGAGACCAGTTCTGCTGTTATGGCCTGTGTTTCTTTTGCTTTTTGGTTCTCTCTGGGACCTGTTTTTACAGGCTTGCCGACGGTGGGTTTTGTATGGGTACTCTTGTTTTCCTCCCACAGTCCAAAGACATGCAGATTAGGTTGACTGGCAACTCTAAATTATACTTCATCCGGAAGGGCATCCAGTGTAAAACATGCCAAGTTTAACATATAAATTGTCAGTCGGGTGGCAACTGATGATTCACTGTGGCGACCCCTAACGGGAGCAGCTGGGAATAGAAGAAGAAGAAGATTCAGTAACATCCTAAAGAAATGTTATTTACTGTATATTAGTTGTTGAAAGTCCAGCTGTTAATCTGTAACTATAACCTACAATTAAATTAGAATGTAACATGTCTTGACATTGTGTTATTGGATGCTAACTAATACTGAGTTCTGTTTGTCTTTTGCTAGTGGACACTCAACCTGACACAGACGAAGTGGACCGAAGTGAGATCCGAACTCAGATCCTGCTGGCCACTGCCTCCTCTGCTTTAAAAGGCAGACACAGCTTCACGCACATGTTAACAGAGGTCAGCCCAAAGAGAGACAAACTAAAAACCAGTATCGGTGTCAAATATCAGACTGGAATGCAACTAGCAGATTTCTGACACAAAACATGTCAAATAAAAAGAGTTCTAGTTTATCATCCATTGTTTTCAGCCAAAAACATTTTAGATATTTAAAGGTTTTCTAACAAATTGCCTTTCAGCCTAGACCAGGGGTTTTCAGGCTGAGGTCTGTGGCCCCCTGGTGATCTGTGAAGGAATTGCAGCTGGTCCCTAACTATGCATTAAATGATGCAGTTTCACTGTGGGAATCACTATCTTTTAATTTTACTTTTTAAAACACATTTCTGTGTATTAACTATTGTTTGTGAATAATCAAATTCATGAAAATCTATACAATTTTGAAAATCCAAGGTGACTTCCCAGAATAAAATTGAATCCATCCATGCTTAGCAGTTTTAAAAAAGTAAACATAAAATTGGCTTCATAGACAAATATAATTGAGTATCACCTGCATAGCAATAGAAATTTATGCTGTGCTTCCTGATAATATTGCCTAAAGGGAGCATGTATAAAGTGAAGAGAACTGGACCTAACACAGAGCCCTGTGGAACACCGTGACTAACTTCAGTTTGTGTGGAACATTGGTCATTAACATGAACAAATTGAAATCTTTCTGATAAATAAGATTTGAATCAACTTAGTGCAGTTCCTTTAATCCCAATAACATGAACCACGGGTGCCTGGTTGCAACAAAATGTACAGAATTCAGTCTCCAGGCTGAAGCTAGCATTAACTGACTAACAGTAAATGTGTCAGTTCAGAAGAACTTTTTGGTTACTGCAAAGCTGCAAAGCTTGAATTCCTCCTAAATTAAAATCATATTAATTCAACACAAAAGTAAAATCATAATTGCGGTAGGCCATTAATGTTACCAAAAACAAACACATTAGCTTTAGATGCTAACATGACCAGAAGGAAGAATGCCACATGGCTGTTTCTTACATTCTCCATGTCAAAAAGTCAAACCAATGTTAACCCTGGCTTTTGCACTTTCTTTTTCCCATTCTGTCTGGGTAAGAGAATGCCACCTCTTTAGGGTGGCAACCACTGTTTCAGATGTTTAGCCGCCCAGAGCTCCTCCATGGCTGGCTGTTGGAAATGACTGCTCGCAGTTTAAAAAACTCTTCATATAGCCTTCAATAGGTGGCAAGTTAGGGTAACGTACAGGCCGTATTTTGAAAACACAGGGTAGAGAAGCTGGAATAACAACAGAACTGTGATGGAGAGGGGTAGTACAGTAGAGAGGATTGTATCTTGTACCATTTTCACTTTATTTATTAGTTAATGCACCTTTAAGATGATTTTAGTCACTCAGGCTGTTGACTCATTTAATGTCTTCTTTTCTGGTCAACTCTTTGCTGTTTAGAGAGAACAAGGCAGATGTAGAGGTTCCAGTTTTTCTCATGGGGAGTGCAGTCGTATCCGCACACAGTAAGCTGTTCAAACTCTACACATTTCCAGCATTTCTCAACAAATTTACATGAAGGTGACACAAAGAATAAGAACCAAATAGTTCAGAAGGTCAGCACATTCAAGCATTAACTAGTTGCTATATATGTTTTTTAAACATCCACAGCACACTAGACATGTTTACAAGAAGGCTGCTCTGTTAATTGATATTAGCCCTTGTCTTGTGTTACAGTTTCCTGCCAAATTATGTATCCCACAAGGATACATACCAGCAGAAAGCCTTTTGTGGAGTGTACAGCGAGGATGGCAACATGCTCCTCTCTGCCTGCCAAGGTAAATAATTACACCACAAGAGCCAGAGTAGCCGATTCAGATCTGATTGTGCTTAGAAATCAATGGGGCCACTCATGTCCAAAAGGACTCTTTCTCTTTTCAGTGTTTCCACTGGTAACATTCAAATGTAGCGGCCCACCACAGCAACATTTTTGCCGCCTCAGCAAAAAAAACAAAAAACCCCATTCAACCAATCGATCATTTCATCAAGCCCCTAACTGACTTGCTCAGGAAGCCCATAAAACAAAAGGTCGAGTCAAATACACAGGTACTACTATTAAGGCCAGTTCAGACGGAGCATGTTTTTAGGCACATTTTTCACACAACAAAACAGAACTCCATTCTATGAAATGTCTCCTCCATACATCTAAGTCACACATTGCTCGTTTTTTGCTTCTAGTCTATTTTATCAGGTCCATTGAGCGCAGTGTAATCTCCACACACTGCAGTTTAAATCACCCAAGTCCCCAGTTATTTTCGGTTGCATTTTTACTGGTGTCTGTTATGATTACGTGCACAAGGCCTACATGAAAACTGTTGTTCAGCACATTTCTGCTGTAACTAGCTGGTATCAATCCATTAACTGTTAACCTCCATAGAGGGAACATGGATTAGGGATGGAAGATAGAGCTCAGAGAAGGACAGATGAAGTGACAGGAGGTTGAGTGTCCAGGCAGTAACCACCCCCACCCTCATCGATTAAAAACTCCAGGTTTATAGTACTATAGCTGTGATGTACTGTAATGTCTGTTTTTTCTGTTGCTTGCTGCAGACCAGAACATCCGGCTGTATGATACCACCAGAGGGCGCTTTAATCTACAGCGAACAGTGAAGGCTAGGGACGTGGGCTGGAGTGTGCTGGACGTCTGCTTCACCCCGGATGCACACCATGTACTCTACTCCAGCTGGTCTGACTACAGTAAGGCTTGGCATCCTGTCAGATACTGTATGGTGCAATGAGCCAGTCATAAAAATGTTGGGACTTGGACTGTCCATGTTATGCATGTGCATTTACATGTGCATTTACATGTCCACTATGTGTAACATAACCTAAACATGGTGGTATTGGATCTTTTCTGTAAATGTTAAAACCAATTCAAAAGACATGCTAAATTTGATCATGTGTTTCTACCCATATGACAATTTTTTTTTTTTTTTTTACAGATCAATTGATTCCACTGGTGTCCATTTTTCACTCTGAACCAGTTGCACCACACGTTACTTAGAATATCACAAAGTTCTGCATTTGTATGGATCTGTGTTTGCTTGTTTGGCATTGTTCTGCTTGACTCAGACTGATGCAACTAAATACAACGATTAAAGAGTTATTCGACTGACCGTTTACTTGGTGTGACTGTACATGTAGTTCTTTCAAAGATTCAGAAAACAGAAAAAAACGCTCATCACGCAGTGCAAGGTTACACCGTTAAATCACTTGTTTGTTCCGGCCAGCACTTCAGATCCTGAAGATATTCAGTGTACTGTGATATAAGACAATTAAAGAAGCATGTCTTCATATTCAAGAGGCGGGGACCAGAGAAGTGTTGCCAAATAACTTTCTATTGATTGACTAATCAGTTAATGGACTCATTAATTTCAGCTCTATTATTGAACAGTGCTTCAGAAAACTGAGAATCAGGTTTTTGTCATTTTCATCAACCTAACTGTTAATAGGTAATTCGCTCAGCCACCAGTTTTATTCATATGTTTTATCTTTGTCTCTTCCCCACAGTTCATCTGTGCAGTATATATGGAGACAGTGAAAACCACACCGCCTTGGATCTCAAGTTAGTGTTTCCTTCATAGTATCTTACAATACTTCAGAGCAGATAATCTGTCATTCCCTCCCTTCCTTACCACCTGGATCAATGACACATCATCCTTGTTATGTGTGTGTGGTCCTCCATTAAAATCGTAGCAGGGATGTACTGATAGCGTCTCCTGCTGTTGAGAACAGCTCCGCTGCACCTCTGTTTGTAACAGAACACAAACATCAACATGTCATACAATTCAATTCAACAAGTCATTTCTGGACACTTTAGAAAGTAAGGTCTAGATCTTATTGCTACTGTTATTATAGAGGAAAAACCCAACAAATCCCCGTTGAGCAGCACTTGGCGACAGTGGGGAGGAAAAACTCCCTTTAACAGAAGAAACATCTGATAGACTCTTGGTAGGTGGCCTTCTGCCTTGAGAGAAAAGAAAAGAAAAACAGCAAACACAAACACTGGTCAGGTTGATGTGGCCGGTGACTGCTCATCAGAAACATAGAGCTCCAGAGCCAGGGCTACCTGCAGAAAGGTACAGGGAGAGAGAGAGAGCACAACATGGTGCAGACACAGTAATCAGGAAGTGAATACTCTTACACAGGAACAGGGTTTATTTTGTGTGTAAATGAGACACAGAGTGCTTTCTTTAGCTAACTTCAGCTGCACAGTAGTCCACCCCCCCCCACACACACACACACACACTCCAGGCAATTCATGCCAAGTGGCCTTCCCCTCAACAACAGAATCAGGAAAATGTATGCAAATATCATTCTGCATACATAATATAAAATTAAACTAATCTGACCAATATCAATTGTCAAGCAGCCCCCCAACCTCCCATCAACACTTCAGATGCAGAAAGGTTCTTTGGATTAAACCCTGTATTACAGCATCATCAGCCTACTTGTGTGTGTGTGTGCTTTTTGTAGTCCAGATGAGAGGAGGTTCTGTGTGTTTTCACTGGCTGCTTCCACAGATGGCAAAGAGATCCTGGGAGGGTGAGTACAGATTATTTTTGTGTGTCAAGGTGCAGTGACTGTGGTGAGATAAGGACTGCTGTCTTATTCAGTTTTCAGAAATGTAATTTGACATAGCTCTTCTATTTCTGACAGCCATATGTTCATGGTAGAAGAACTAGTGCTGTGAATTCTATAGTTTTGAGGATACTACACAGCATGATCTGTCACATTAAACTATTTATGTTGAATTCATTCAGTCTGTTATCTCACCTTTCAGAGCAAATGATGGCTGCCTTTATGTTTTTGACCTTGAGCAGAATAAACGAACGTTGAAGGTCAGTGTATTGCTTTTGTTTTGCTAGAATTCTTGCCCCTTTGACTGTACGTTCATGTTTCTGCATCACATACAATACATCTCTCTCTATTTGTGCCTGATCTTGTGGTCAGGGCAAGCTGATTTTAATGCAAAAGAAAGAGTCCAGCTCTCTTCTGCAGTGGAACAGGGGGTTAAACCCACCTTCCTCCACCTACCATGTCAGGGGCTCACCTTACTATCAACAAATCTTATAAAAAGACCAAACCATTGTCTCCTACTAACAAAGTACAATGTGTGCATCATAGCCGTATCTTCTCTATCTAATCCTCTGTGCCAGAGAGCTTTATCTGAAAACATCAGTGAACCACACTGTTGCACTGGGTAACATGTTCCTTCATTACCATGAACACACACACACACACACACACACACACACACTGTCTCTAACAAATGTACAGTTTTGTCCTGTTTTGTTTAACTAAGAATTACAGTGACCAGCTCCTTTAGGAAATTACTAACGCTTTAAAAAAATTAGGCTATTTGTTTATGAAGTCAGAGCCACAAGGAGGTCGGTGAACCTGCAGGGTCAGGCTGACACCTTGCTGCTTCTGGTTTTCACATAGGATTTGTTGACAACAGGACTGCGGTCATGATAATGGCTTCATGAGGCTGAACATAAACACAGCACTACTTCAAATACTTATAGCAATATATTAATATGCTCACAGTGATGATGTTTAGTCAGTTTAAAGTTTACCATGTTCAAATGTGAGCTAATTAGCATTAAACACAGTGTACAGCTGAGGCCCATGGGAATGTCTGTAGTTTTCTTAGTATTTGGGCATAAACGGAACGTTCTGGACAAATTAAAACATGGTATCTCAACTAACTCATTCATCTTTTGTTGCATCTCTATTGTTCTGCCATGCTCATTTTGCAGCAGAGAACATTAAACTGTGTGCTTCACTCTTACACACAGCAGAAAAAATGTGCATTGCTCTATTAAAAAAATAATGACGGAACACCTAAAAAATAATGTCTTTTCTGGAAATATTGGAATCACTTCTGCTGTTTTGTTCACAATGTTACACAACACATGCGCAGAAACACATTTTCACAGAAGCGCAGAAGGTACATTACATGTGCAGTCTTCTGCATTCACCCACTGGCTTGCATACCCCCACTCTGAAACACTGATTCTGTTTCTTTTGCGTCTCTCGCCATCAGATTGATGCCCATGAAGATGATGTAAACACTGTTGCCTTTGCTGACAGCTCATCCCAGCTGCTTTTCTCCGGCAGCGATGATGCGCTCTGCAAAGTATGGGACAGACGGACGCTGCGGGAGGACAGACCACAGCCTGTTGGACAGCTGGCTGGCCACAGGGATGGCATCACCTTCATCCACAGCAAGGTGGGAGGATGCTGCTGAAAGGTTCTCCAAACACTCGCAAGTAGTTGGATTTGACTGACTGGGTAGAATCTGATTAATTACATGCCAGTACATGTATATTTAGTCCAACGTAACCCTGAGGTTTGTTTTGTTTGTTGTGACTCTGCCAGGGTGATGCACGCTACCTAATCAGCAACTCAAAGGACCAGTCCATCAAGCTCTGGGACGTCAGGAAGTTCTCACCCAAAGAGGGGCTGGCAGCTTCCCGCCTGGCTGTCACCCAACAAAACTGGGATTACCGCTGGCAGCAGGTTCCCCAGAGAGGTGAGGAGGGTGATAAACTAGTAGGAGAGAGAGAGAGCAAGAGACAGAGAGAGAAACTGGTGTTGAATGAGTGACAGGAGGAGAGGACAATAGAAGCTGGAGGAAAAAAGATGATGTTATATGGATGAATAGATGAGGAGGAAAAGATTATTTGATGTTAGAAAAGAAGAGAGATAGCCAATGATAGAGGTGACGCCTGTACTGACAAATGAAAGGAAAAACCTGAACAAAGTGTCTCAGTAAGGTGCTGGGCCACCATGTGCTGCCAGAACAGCTTCAGTACTTCTTGACATTGACTCACCAAGTCTCTGAACTCCAGAATCAGAATCAGCTTTATTGGCCAGGTGTGTTGGACACGAGGAATTTGACTGGGGTACAGCGGCTTGTCATCATGGCGCTCTCCGAGGCAGACATGCTTGAGCATTCTACTCTCGAATGCCGTCTTTTTCTTTGTTTTCTTCTTTTTTTGTGTGTTTTTTACTCTTTCTGCAGTGCACAAATGTCATGCTAGACTAAACGCTTGTGCTACCCAACCTCTACTATCCAGCCTCTTCCTAGCTAACGTACAGTCTCTGGAAAACAAATTGGACGAGCTAAGAGCTAGGATTACAACACAACGGGAAATAAGAGAATGCTGTGCTCCAATTCTCACTGAGACTTGGCTTTCTGACAAAGTCCCAGATTATGCAATTCAGCTACAAACCCACTCTGTACATCGGGGAGACCGCACTGCTGCTTCGGGGAAGGTAAAAGGAGGTGCCGTGTGTGTGTTTATCAATACCTCATGGTGTGGAGATGTACAGACTGTTTATAAGCACTGTTCGCCAGACATAGAGTTTTTATTGCTGAAATGCTGGCCCTATTATCTAGCAAGAGAGTATAGTGCCATGTTTCTGGCTACTGCGTATGTTAGCCCAAGAGCTAATCCCTCAATGGCTCTCAGCAAACTCCATGACATCATCAGCACACTAGAGACAGCTCACCCCGACACTATATTTATTGCTGCAGGCGACTTTAACCAGTGCAATTTATGGACTGTCCTTCCCAAATATTATCAACGTGAACATTCCCACCCAGGGCAAGAACACTCTGGATCATGTTTACAGTAACATACGGGGTGCATACAGGGCTGCACCCTGCCCCCACTTTGGACGCTCGGACCACATTTCTTTGTTCCTGTATGCAGCTTACAGACAAAGACTGAAACAAACAAACCCTGTCACCAAACAAATTAAACTCTGGAACCCAGAGGCTAAAGGCACCCTGCAGGACTGGTTCACCCAGACAGACTGGGATGTGTTTAAAGCTGCAGCCACCTTGGAGGACTTTTCTGTGAGCGTACAGGATTATGCTGAGTATGTGACCGAGTACATTAGTACCTGTATTGACAACATTCTGCCCACCATACAAGTCAGAAGGTTTCCCAACCAGAAGCCCTGGATAAACAGTCAGGTACCCACATGCTGTGTGATTGCTCTCATGCATTCAGATCAGTCGATGAGACGGAGTACAAAGCTGCAAAGTACAGACTGAGGAAAGCCATCACAGCGGCCAAGAGGCAGTACAGAGAGAAGCTGAATGGCTTCTATTCTACTGCTGACTCTAGACCAGGGGTGTCAAACTCAATCACACAGGGGGCCAAAACTCAAAGCACACTTTAGGTCGCGGGCCGAACAGGATAAACATTTATTGAACAGACTAAAACGAAACATTTTTTGAACACAAATATGAATCGAAACAGGATACAATATTATTCCAAAATAAATAAACTTGAACTTAAAATCAGCAACCGTATTTCTGCTAAGGCTTACATTTGCAAACATCTGCTTTTACCCTGGACACAAGACGTTGCACCCTTTCATCATGCAGCTCTTCAGAAACACAGACAGCCTGCCGGATGACCTCAACACCTTCCACACCCGCTTTGAGACCTCCAGCTACAGCACAGAGAGGAAGCGCACACACACCTGGACCACCCCACCCCCCACCTTCCCTCCACTAATTGTCTCACCAGGCCAGGTACACAAAGTGCTGAGGAAGATCAACCCCCGCAAAGCAGCAGTACTGGACAACATCCCTGGGAGGGCTCTCAGGGCATGTGCCAGCCACCATCTTCAATCTCTCCCTCAACCAGAGTGTCGTTCCCACCTGCTTTAAGACCACAACCATCGTCCTTTTTCCCAAGAAGAGCCCGGTCACCTGCCTGAACAACTACAGGCCAGTGGCACTCACTCCAATCATTATGAAGTGTTTTGAGAGAGTGATGCTAGCCCGCATCCAGAGCAGTATGAAGTGTTGTGAGAGAGTGATGCTAGCCCGCATCCAGAGCAGTATACCGGACACCCTGGACCCCCTCCAGTATGCCTACCGGCCCAGTAGAGCCACCTCAGATGCTATCACAGCTGCACTCGACTATTCCCTTTTTCACCTGGAAAATGGAGACTCCTACATCAGGATACTCTTCATTGACTACAGCTCTGCCTTCAACAAAATAAACACTTTGAGCTTTGAACTTTGAACGTGGACAGTGACAGTGACACCTGGAGGGGCGTGGTTGGGAGGAACGGCCGCCCCCGATCTGAACCCAAGTGGTGTTCTGTTATTGGACTTCTGTGCTAGCCACAGTTTGTCCATAATGAACACCGTGTTCAAGCATAAGGGTGTCCATCAGTGCACGTGGCACCAGGACACCCTAGGCCGGAGGGCAATGGTCGACTTTGTGGTTGTTTCATCTGACCTCCGGCCGTATGTCTTGGACACTCGGCTGAAGAGAGGGGCGGG